AATCAAATCTGCATACTTATTCATCTTTGAATAAATATATAAAATGTTTAAAAAGCAATTAAAAACTTTTCTTTGTTTAAATTTCAAGACAAAGACAGGAAAGAGAAAGTATAAATTGGGGCAAAATTTTTGCAGAAATCATATACACATAAAATTTCTCTACTTAAATGAATAATGTTTTTCAATAAAACATTTCTATTTTTGTTAAAGTAACTAGTAAAGCATTTCCTATTACATATTTAAAAGCCATGGTGGTGCAGTTAAATTGGTAGTGTTAATGATATTGTTATTCAGTAAAATGAAAAATAACACTAGATATTGAACATTGAGCTTTCAAATGCCTAAAAATACCAAGATGGATATCTACCTGAGCACTGTAAGTGCTTTATAGTGTGTTGATTATGATTACTATGAGTGAATGATCCCTTTTTGGTTCCCTATCAATTTTACTAAAACGGTTCCTGAAATAAACCAATTTTGTTTCGTTAAAACCTGATTAATGTTCCTCACTATGGCACATAAATAATGTCACAAACTTATGTCAATAAGCCTTGCTAATATTAATATTTTAATAACACCATTTTTTCAAAGATAAAAATTTGTCAATAATGTTATCATTTTGTGTTTAAAAAAATATTGATTTTTTTTTCAATGACCATTGCAGTAGTGATACAGAAGATGACAAAGCCCACAAGAACTGGAAGAAATCTATAATGTTGGTGTGGAGAATGGCTGCTAATCACAAGTATGTAATTTATAGTGTTTGAGTGAATATTGTTTGCCAATCTTATATATTTGAGGGAAGATTGTTTGCCAATCTTATATATTTGAGTGAAGATTGTTTGCCAATCTTATATAATTGAGTGAAGATTGTTTGCCAATCTTAAGAAGTTCATGTAGTATAAAAGGTTGCTTTAGATTATTCAGTCATGAGCAAGAAGTATGTTATATTTATGTGAAGAATTGCTTCTTATCACTTGTTTATTAGCAAGACTGAACACACAAACATTTCTGTTGCAAAGTTTTATGCTTGAAGATATTGACTTGATATTTGTTATATAGTTAACACCATGACAAGTTATAGATCAAGTTAGCATTTTGTTCCAGTACAATGAATTTTTAAACGGTAGGGGACTATGTATTACCATACAATACTCTCAGAATGCTTGTTTAGATTGACATCTGCAATCAATAGATAGACAGGGCTTCAGCTTGTATACATTATACTCAATAACAATGTATTCAAGCTGTAGCCCCGCCTATCTATTGATTGCAGATGTCAATCTTAATTACAATGCTTGAGCAAACATTTATACAAACAAAGCATGCAAGCCAACCAAACCTTTAAACTACAAGCATTAGGAAAATAGCTCTAATGTCAATCATTACAATATATTTATAGATATGCAAATGTGTTCCTACATCCAGTAACCAATGAAATAGCTCCAGGATACCAAGGCATTGTACTCAGGTATATATATATATATATATATATTGCTTCAGTAGAACCTATATCAATTAAATACCTTCAGGACTGACACACCTGTTCAAATAAGACAGGTGTTTGATTTACAAAGGATTAATTGCAAGAGAAAACACTGTGTAGGTCATGATACAAGTTTAGACAAGTTTACATGTATCACACTTTTAAATTTGGATAGATTACTCTTGTTTTGCTGATCAATTAGTTCTGTGAAAAGATGAAAATTCATATATCCTTACCTTTATATTATTGAATAAGTCCTTCTTTGTTCATTTACAAGAGTTGAGTCAAATTTCTGTACTTGTACAATGCTTAATGGTGACTTAAAAAATGTGATATTACTCAAGGTACAATTATTTGTTGTCATCTTGATTGGTAAAATGGTTAAGAAGCTTTGAAAAGTGAAAGATCATCTTGTCCCTTTCATATAATAGGATCTGATTGATTTGACTGCATGCATTTACCTTCACCGTAAGACTAAAAAATGAAACAACAAACATCCATTTCAGACCTGTCTTCTGTTAACTTGTTCAGTTCATTTGAGGTATCAAGTCAACAATTTTAAAATGACAGCCAAGTTATATTGAATAAATTGTAATAAATTGATTCATTGATTTTAATATACATGGATTGTTATCTAGCAATGAACTGATACAGCATTTTCTTGTGTGCCCAAAATTTGGTATGAAAATATTTGAAAAGTGTTTTTAACTGTTTTCTATTAAAATGACAAGGAAGGTACAGTTTAGTCAGAATAAAGTATTTTAATTGATTTCAACAAATGTTGTGATAATTAGACATCCACTTTAAAGTGTTGTTGAAGATTTCTATTTTTAAAAAATGTTTTATTTGCCCCTCCAGGCCATTGGACCTGACAACTATAAAGAAGAATGTTGAAGCTGGTATTACAAGAACGACACCTGAGTTCCAGAGGGACATGATGTTAATGTTTACTAACGCTATCATGTACAACAGTTGTAATCATAATGTACACAAGATGGCCGTGGAGATGTATGATGATGTCATGACACACATTGAGGTTAGTAATACAAATATGTCTGTTGAGCGCAAACATGCTAAATTTTAAGTACTGATGTTGTAAGACATATAGAGTGATATAAGAAAAGGGTCTTATAAAAGGATAATTGAAAAAAATGTGGTCAACTATCCTAAATGACATTGGAACTTTACAAAAGTTATAAATGGGAATATATAAACAGTTATATAATTAATTTATTAAATGATAAGATTAATGTTTTTAAAGATGATGTTATGTACTAGAATTCCACTTACATCAGTGTCTAAACTGATGAACAAGAACAATAGAAAATAACCTCTTCTTATGATAGAGTTGAGAAAATCAGTAGTAAAACAATGCTGGTGACGATACTGATCAAAAGTTATTTCTAAAAAACAATCGTACATTTAAAGAAATTGTTTGTTAAACTGTGTTATTAGAAATATATATGCAAAGACACAATGTTTAATGTTCATTATTTACAGAGATAACTGCATTAGAAGCTTGTGAAACTAAAATTTAAAAAATGTTAATCTTTGCTGCATATTGATAAAAAATATTGGAAAAAATCATGTACATACAAAATCTAAAGATCTTTCAGGTCAATTTTTTTCAAAGCGTTCCATATAGTCCTCAGCATGCTACAATTTCCCAAAATATACCTATTTTTCACATTTTAAGTTATCCAGTACACCTGTCTGCTCTTGTCATGTGAACTTTCAATATGAAAATATTGTCTTTTTGTGAATACAACAATTTAAAAGTCATGTTTGTGCAGGTTAACAAATTTAAGATAACTATTTTTATAAAGTAGGTTATTGGTTTAAAGATTTTTATTAATATTTTTTACAATTTTAAGAAAAGGTCGTCTCGATTTCTGTACATGTATTTGTGGTCTTCTCGATCTATTTACATTCAATGTTTACATTTGGATAAGGTCCGTTTGAATTTGCTTAGTAACTTAATTTCAATAGTGTTAATCTTTGCTGCATATCAATAGATTCCATTGGAATTTTTCCCCTGAACTTCTCTGATCTAGCTGCATACATGTACGGATAATTGGCGTGTTCCAGAGAGGTATACAGCCAGTAGAAAAACATTTTGAAGTTTGTACTTCAAAAATTTATTCGCATAGCAACAAATTAAACCTATTTTTCACAATGAAATATAATGGATGTAATTTAACTTGATTACAATTGTTTTCAGCAATATGTCAGTGCACAATTAATGCTACAGTCATCAGAGAGTAAATCATTAAGGCCTTCCAGGAGGACAGAGAGCAGTGACAAAAGTGATAAGGTATATGTTCCTTGATGTTGTGTTGTTCATCATTGATATTTATCCATTAATCTCCTTTATTTTTATGTAATCCCTGTGGAAAGGATATAGTTAACCATCATCAGTCTGCCTACAAAACTATTTAAGGTACAAGAGGTCAAATCTTGAATCTAATCTCAGACTCTGTTCACAGCTGGGTGGTCAAAGGTCAAGTTTACATCATGACTTTATAGGCTTTTAGGTATCATATACATTTATTTTTAGAATTTTAATAATATGTGTCTATAGCTGAGAAAATTAAGAGTGCTTGATTCTTATTTAATTTCAAGGTTAGAGGTCAAGGATACTGGGGATATTCAAACTTGTTGGCATGTGAGACTTTACATCAAATCTTTAGAGATCATTGTCAAAGGCTTCATCTTAGAAAAAAGCTTTATGCTAGAATCAAAAGGTTAGGTCTTTTAAGAAGGAATGCTGTGTTGCAGTGCCAATTTTCATGTGAGAAAAATCTTCTTTTACATTCTGAAAATCACAGTAACCAAACAAATTTTTGCTAGCAATTTAAATATGCAATTTTCCTGAGAAGAAAAATAACAGGAAAATAAATCATTCTGAAAATATAAAGCTTGGATCTTCTCTGACATTAAATGCATCAACAAAGGTAGAAAATTGCAAAAATAAACCACCACAGTCTATTAGGAAGGGCTATACCTATTAAAGATTTGAGTTTGAATATGTAGTTTAAATGCTTGGCTATCCTTTTGTACAATTTAATGTTTATGTGGTACATATTATATATATCAATCAAAATTTTAACTCAGCAGTTGTGAAGTATCAAGTAACTTTTCAACAGATTTTTATAGTTTATTCTCATGTTGTGCTGTAACACCACTGTCCCAGGTTAGGGGAGGGTTGAAAGCTCACAAACATGTTTAACTCCACCACATTCTTTATGTACCTGTCCCAAGTCAGGAGCCTGTAGTTCAGTGTTTGTCGTTGGTTCATGTCTGTCATATTTGTTTTTTCGTAAATTGTTTTGTAATAAATTAGGCTGTTAGTTTTCTCAATTGAATTGTTTCATTTTTAAAGGCAGTGCTTTAATGCCTTTCTGGTTGCCGGGTTAATCCTTCCTTCCGCGAAATCCAACTTATCTACGTGGGGGGTCATTAGGCTCCAAGTAGATCCGGAAATGTTGAATTCTCTCCTCTCCTTATTGTGATATAAAATGTTTTTTGTTTCATTTCATTTACATTGGGAAATAGAGAAACGATCATTGTGTTTTGTTAGTTTTAAAAACTTTTGATATATTTGTATTTTGCATTATAAGCAGTCAACCGATTGACAAACTAGAATTATTTGAATTCCGTGTGGAAAGAGCTCGGGTTAATTTCGAGTGTTATCTGCAATCTATATGTTTATAAATCATTTCAGTCGTTGATATAATAATTAAAGGTCGACTGAACATGAATTATATTATACAATTTAAAGCGCATTTCTGTTTATGCACGTGAACCCGTCTAACGTTATTGTTATTTCGCAGTTATATAAAGTAGCAAATTATCGTTCCTGAATAGTTGGCGCCGTGGTAGCCGATCCTGTTCCTCAACTTCCGGTTTCTGCACTGTGCAACTATTTCAGTTACAATTTTAATTAACGATGCCAAGTACTTGTTGTTGTGTACCTGGATGTCATTTAAGAGGAGGACATGCATTTCCAAATGACTTAAACAAAAGGAAAAGTTGGATCAACGCCATGGCCCATACGCAGATTGGACGAGAACACGATGAGTCCATCTCAATCAGCTGTTGTTTGCAAGGCACATTTTACTGAAAAAGACTACGTGCAGGAAACTATTCATGGTAAAACTCTATTTTCTTTTTGAAATATATAGTTATATATGTAATCGCCATGCGAATAAACCAAAGTCTGTTTACAACCGCAATTATCGTTTTAGAATAAAAGGGGGTGGTTAATTCAAGACATCATAATTTTTTGGATTACGATTCAATGTGATCTGTTTGAGATTTTTTGGTGATTGCTACAATTATAATGATTTCTTACAAGAGGTATATCATACTGAGAATCATTTTAGCAGTAATTATGCTAATGTAGTAATGACAGGAATGCATAAGCTATGAAAAATATCAATGACAATGTTAACAGGAACAAAACAATGACATGCTCTCATCTATATTATAGTTATTTAGGTACAAACAATGTACGTTTGTTGCATAAGTCTCTCATTGTTTGTCCTTTGGATTTACATAACATACATTGAATCAGGCAAACATAGTTTTATCCAGATTGTAATGAATAAATTTTAGTTAATATTTCGCCAGGTAATACAAAGTATACATTGCTAATGGAAGTTCATTTAATTATCAAAAAACTAATGTTTTATAACCTTTTTCAGGGCGCAAACCCACCATACAGAGACTTAAGTCTACTGCCATTCCCAGCCTATTTTCCTGGACCAAGCAAGAGACTGAATCGTCCGCAAAAAGAAAAATCAGGGCAGTTTCCTGTGAAAACAAAAGAACTAAACTTGATGAATATTGTAGTAGAAATCTAGAGGAAAGTTTTGATTGTAAAGTTGGTTTTCCTGAAGAAGTCATTCATACTGCAGAAAGGATTTATGACTGTCCACCACCAACTGCCGAGCTAATGTTGAGCTTCACAGATAGAATTACGCAAACACCATCAATGCCTATGTTTTCAGCAGAGAATTTTGAAATGAAGACACGTGACACAGCCATGCATTTTTATACCGGTTTAGAGTTGTATACTAAATTTTTATTTGTTTTGACCAAACTTGGTCCAGCAGCACATTGTTTGAGATACATATATTTCAAATTGATAGACATAATAAACATGTGCACATAGAGCGAATTATTGGACTTGGCAAAACATACAAAATTCTAATAAATCCTATGAATGGAACTGAAACAAAACATTCATCTGAAATAATATTTAGTTGTTTTATGATGTGTAATTTTAGAACTTGTATTGTGCCAAAGGATGCATAAATAAAAGTGACGCAATGAATTTTGTTCTGATATATATATATTTATAATTACATGCACATGTAAATTGTAATGCATATAAAAATAAGGAGAACTAAAGTGCATAAGAAATGGGTTTAAGCAGTTACAGGTGTTACTGTCACCGTACAATCTCCAACAATGAGAAAAACTTGTACCATGTAAAAAATTTCAGAGATCTTACCACTAAGTTTTGTTGTCTCACCTTGACTTTGGTGAATTGTTTATATCTGTTGATGTAAATATAAAAAAGAAGTTGTAGTATGATTGCCAATGAGACAACTCTCCACAAGAGACCAAATGACACAGAAATTAACAGCTATAGGTCACAGTACGGCCTTCAACAATGAACAAAGCCCATACCGCACAGTCAGCTATAAAAGGCCCCGAAATGACAATGTAAAACAATTTAAACGAGAACTAACGGCCTAATTTATGTACAAAAAATGAACGAATATAACAAATATGCAACACATAAACAAACAACAACCACTGAATTACAGGCTCCTGACTTGGGACAGGCACATACATGTACATACAGAATGTGTCGGGGTTAAACATGTTAGCAGGATCCCAAGTTCCCAACCCTCACCCTAACCTGGGACAGTGGTGTAACAGTACAATATAAGAACGAACTATAAAAATCAGTTGAGAAGGCTTAACTCATCAGATGGATAAAGACAAATACAAGTGGACGTGGTCGGGTAGTTGTACATCCAAACAACAAAAAAACACTAAGTACAGATCTGAGAGTACTCACAGTTACTTACAGCTAGTTCAAAGCCACTAACAACTGATAAAAAAATCTTGCATCTAAGACTAAATTATCAATCCGTAAGCTCCCTTTAGAATTTTATAAATTTTAGATTTTACATTTCTGAGTTATGGGGTTTTATTCATTAAAAAAGGGGAGATTTTCCAGTTTTTGTCGAGCCTGCGACTTTCGTCGCAGAAAGCTCGACATAGGGATAGTGATGTGGCGGCGGCGTTAGCTAACTTCTTAAAAGCTTTATATTTTAGAAGGTGAAAGACCTGGATGCTTCATACTTTGTATATGGATGCCTCATGTTACGAAGTTTCCGTCAGCCACATGTCCAATGTCCTTGACCTCATTTTCATGGTTCAGTGACTACTTGAAAAAAAAGTTAACATTTTTTGTAATGTAAAATTCTCTCTTATTATAAGTAGTAGGATAACTATATTTGGTATGTGCGTACCTTGCAAGGTCCTCATGCCCGTCAGACAGTTTTCACTTGACCTCGACCTCATTTCATGGATCAGTGAACAAGGTTAAGTTTTGGTGGTCAAGTCCATATCTCAGATACTATAAGCAATAGGTCAAGTATATTCGGTGTATGGAAGGACTGTAAGGCGTACATGTCCAACTGGCAGGTGTCATCTGACCTTGACCTCATTTTCATGGTTCAATGGTTATAGTTAAGTTTTTGTGTTTTGGTCTGTTTTTCTTATACTGTATGCAATAGGTCTACTATATTTGGTGTATGGAATGATTGTAAGGTGTACATGTCTAGCTGGCAGGTCTCATTTGACCTTGACCTCATTTTCATGGTTCAGTGGTCAAAGTTAAGATTTTGAGTTTTGGTCTTTTTTTCTAATACTATATGCAATAGGTCAACGATATTTGGTGTATGGAAATATTTTATGATCTATATGTCAGTCGCGCATGTTTTATTTGACCTTGACCTCATTTTCACAGTTCATTGCTCAGTGTAAAGTTTTTGTGTTTTGGTCTTAAACTATAAGCAATAGGTCAACTATATTTGTTGTATGGAAGAATTGTTAGCTGTACATGCCTGCCTGGCATGGTTCATCTGACCTTGACCTCATTTTCATGGTTCATTGGTCAATGTTTAGTTTTCTTGGTTAATGTTAAGTTTATGTGACAGTTGTAATAAAGCTTTATATTAAGGACTATCAACATAATATCAGTGATTAGTGAAGAAGGAGAGACATTTCAGCGTGTGCACTCTTGTTGGACAACAACTCAAAAATGCTTTAAGCAGTTCGCATGAAACTTTGGTGAATTATTTATAGCTATTGATGTAATCTCCCTATAGATTTTCATAAATTTCAAATATGACATTGAGAAGAAATTGAACTTTATTTGTTTATAGTCTGGCAACAGATTTATTAAGTATTGCACAACAGCACAGTGTATTGCACAACAGCAAGAAATCTTTAATTGAATATAAATTCAATTCATATAACCGATTTCAAGTTCTTTGACTACATTTATTCAGAAACTATAATATGTCAAATATTTAATTACAATCCAAATTCAGAGCTGTATCAAGCTTGGATATTGTGTCCATTTTTGCCCCAACTGTTCAGGGTTGGACCTCTGCGGGTGTATCCAGCTGCACTCAGCGAATCAGTTTATTTCTTAATTAAGAACTCCTTTTTTCATTTGACACTTTTTTTAGAAACTATAACTCCAAGCAAAATTATATTTCCAAGTTTAAAGTAATTTATGAATGAAAAAAGGAGTTCTTAATTAAGAAATAAACTGATTCGCTGAGTGCAGCTGGATACACCCGCAGAGGTCCAACCCTGAACAGTTGGGGCAAAAATGGACACAATATTCAAGCTTCTATGGTACCAAATCAAAAGTTTATATAAAAGAAAGAAGTCAAAGGTTTCCCATCATAGTTAAGTTACATACATTTGTTTTGTACCTGAGGTCGTTGAATATAGATCATTATATAAATAAGGAGATGTGTAATGATTGCCAATGAAACAACTATCATTCATACTTAACAGTAACAAACCACATTTGCAGAGTTGAATAAAATACAGTTGATAGCATTTACTTATTACTGAAAAGAAAATGCCTAACTATTTTAAACAGTATTTGAATATCAATTATATGGTCATTTTTATAAACTTCCTGTTACAAAACTTTGAATTTTTCGAAAAACTAAGGATTTTCTTATCCAAGGAATAGATTACCTTAGCCGTATTTGGCACAACTTTTTGGAATTTTGGGTCCTCAATGCTCTTCAACTTTGTACTTGTTTGGCTTTATAACTATTTTGATCTGAGCGTCACTGATGAGTCTTATGTAGACGAAACGCGCGTCTGGTGTATTAAATTATAATCCTGGTACCTTTGATAACTAATTTGACTATAAACATAGAAAAAAAAGGTACAAACTGGACATAATGCACTAGTTCATAAACAAGTGAGAACAATCACCTTCATATAGTGCTCAGAATATGACATTCATATAACTTGTTCAATATCATTAGAGAACTCAAAATCATAAATACTGAAAGCCACCTCAGATAAGTACACTGTACTATGCATGATAATGATATAACTGGACTAAAAATACACACAACCTGTAATTAACTGCCTTTACAGCGCTTTCACGCTTTGATTTTTCATGTCAGGGCCTTTTAAAGCCAACTATACGGTATGAGTTTTTCTCATTGTTGAAGGCTGTACAGTTGCCCATGTTTGCTTACATCCACTTCATTTTAACTTTGGTGGATAGTTGTCTCATTGGCAATCATACCACATCTTCTTATTTTTATAGTTTTGAAAGATATGAAAAAAGTAAAGAAAATGGTGGATATACAATCAATACTTATAATTATACTTTGCACATAGAAAAGAAAATAGATGTCATTATGATTGGTTATGTTTTCTCTTTGAATGAGATTTTATATCTTTTCAACAGGAAGATGACATGAAGAGAAGAAGAACGTTTTCAGAATCTCATCAGGAGGGAGGGAAATCAAAGAAAAGAAAGACAAGAGGAGACGACACATGATCAAAATCTTTGTCACTGAAAGAGGAATTTCTATTGTTTTGATATTTAATCCTGTGAGCACAGTAGCTTGGCAGTTGTTATAGGAAGGGCATTATGCAAGAATGAATCATTCAGAACAATTTGTAAAGAAAAAAGAAAAAAACTCTGTATAAATGTTTTTTTTTTTTACAAAGGAAGGATAGAAAGACAGCATTCAAATATGTCTCTTTATTGTTATGTATGTGTATAAAAATGAATTGTATATATTTCTTGTTTGCTATTGATATTGGCCACTGAATGTATAGAGGAACTAACAGTCAAACAAACAAATATGAAAGTGGAAAAGTAAAAAAAATTCTGTCAAAAATGATGATCACAATGTTTCTTGTAATCCAAGACTTTGATGTTATAACATATGATAATTTTTTTGGTTTCATGGTTTTATCATAAGTATTGTCAATTCCTACTTTAAAGGTTTCTGAGTAGGTCCAACTCTTAAAAAGTAGTCATGCACACCTCATTGATGTTTGGTATTTAGTTACGAAAGCATAAATATATGACTCTGTTTAAAAAGGAAGTTCCAAGCAGGCTTCTTGTTTATTTCACAGAAAAAGCAACCACTGATATCAACATAAATAATGATATGACAGTTTTTATACGACCGCAAAAAAATTTTGCGGTCGTATATTGGTATGACGTTGGCGTCGTTGTCGTCGTCGTCTTCGTCGTCGTCTGAAGACACATTGGTTTTCGCACTCTTAACTTTAGTTTAAGTGAATGGAACTTTATGAAATTTTACCATAAGGTTCAATACCACAAAAGGAAGGTGGGGATTGATTTTGGGGGTTATGGTACCAACTGTTAAGGAATTAGGGGCCAAAAAGGGGCCAAAAATAAGCATTTTTGTAACTTCCAGACATAACTTGTGTGTTAGTGTATGGATCTCTCTGACATTGTACCACAAGGATCCATATCACAAAGGGAATGCTGGGATTGATTTTGGGGGTAATTGCCTCCAAATTTTAGGAATTAGGGGCCAAAAAGGGGCAAAAAACAAGCATTTTTCTAGTTTCATGACAATAACTTGTGTGTAAGTGTATGGATCTCTCTGACATTGTACCACAAGGTTCCATATCACAAGGGGAATGCTGGGATTAATTTTGGGGGTAATTGCCTCCATATTTTAGGAATTCGGGGCCAAAAAGGGGCAAAAAACTAGCAGTTTTCTA